CAATCGTCTAAACTGACAATTTACCTGTTGCTAACAATTGTTCATTGTCACTTCTGACAACCGTTTAATACTTAGCTTTTTTGTCTTAATAAACAAAGAGTTTTTTAGAACTAAACTATCTTGCAGAATTTGCAAGAGTTTGAGAGAAGAGAAGCTTATTGAGAAAAAAGGAAGAGGAATAGTATGAATTCTATCAAAGATTGATAATAATTGGAACGAGTACGGGAACAGAAGTAAAATTGAAATGGGATAATAGAATATAGCCAATTTGCATTAAATTGCTGATAAGTGAAATCGTTCATGGTCTAGGAATGTCGGGCATTCTTAAACAAGAAGGCGTGATATATGGATGGCGGGACTCAAGGATTCAATTGACAACTGTATTTTTGAATAACCAACAACTGTATTTCAGAATAAATTTGTAATGGATATTTGAATAATCGGCTAATGTTTGGTTGTACAGTCTTAAAAGGCAGGAGTTTTTTCATTATTTGGCAAGTTTCTGGTTCTGATGAAATCAGCGAAAGGTTTCTTTAAGACAATCTTGTCGTTCCAAGCAAAATGATGTAGCGGAAAGGTTCTTTTTGAACCAAGCTATGCAGTTAGCTTACCTATGAGATGTGAATCTTTTGTCAATTCAATTTCCCATAAATTACGAAAACTGAATGAACTCAATACTTTGAAAGCTGGTGGCATTATCCCAGCTGATCTTTATCATTATGCGGATATTATCACGACGAAGGTTTCAGGTTTCTTAAGCACAACTAATAGAGGATCAACACTCTTAAATCACAGAGCTTTTGGCGTTATTATTCCAGCGGATATTCCTAATAATTCGAATATTATCACGGTAGTTCGGATATATTCTTGCTGACTTGAGGGTTCATAAATTTCCAAAAGGGGAAACCCCTTGCATAGTAGACGAAGGTTTCAAATATTATTGATCTACTCTTCTGGTTTTATGGTAAAATCTCTTAAGCCCAACAAATATATATGAAAAACCTATTTAGATATTGTGAGGGGCTTTAATAGTGATCTTCTAGAGAAGATTTATCGTCTGCCTATATAATCACATGGTTTAACCTTGAATCTCTCCTTGATTAACTTTGCATAAGTTGTAGCAACGAAAACGATGATTCTGCTATTAGTATGCAGAAGTATGACCCATTTCGTGTAATAAAATAAGATCAGTCCTAGATCCGCGTGAGTCAGCTTTCTGAAATGTGTATAGTAACCTAGGTTTAACAAACTAAAACATGTAATGATTGATTATTCCTGTAACAGTCGGATGTAAGAAATTACACTTAACCCTTTTAACGATTGAACAGAAGCCACGAAAATCATTAAGAAATTAAACACAAAGGTGCTGCTCAAAGCATAGTTTTGGCACGTAGCTTTCAATAGAAAGAGCATCTCAGCATTTATTGCCACAAGAGCGGCTAAAATACAGTAAAACAAGTGAAGTTATTTATCACAACTACAATATAATATACAATATGAAAATGGCAGACAATAACTATAACAACAACAACTAAATTCACATATGATGATGGTAAACAGAAAAAAACAAAACTTGAAAATCGTTATTTGTTGTTGTTATAGTTGATGCAACTAAATAATTGTGCAAGAAAAAGAAGAAGAAGGAACCAACAAAATAAATAAATACAGAATATAAATGTGTTGTTGATTTTGTTATTGTAACACAAACGGCAAAAATAAAACAACAACTACAACTCGTATGTGCTCTTGCTATTTTGCTGGTTGTTAGTTATTACTGGCTGCTGGTTTAGTTCATCTGTTATGTCTGCTTGTTAGTCAAGCGTAACTTTTTTTCCTCTTCTTGTGTGTAACTAAATCGCTGAGTACATTGGTATGATAAAGATGATGATGATGGTTAAGTTTATTGGTGGTAAGTTGCTGACGACGATGATTCCACACAACTTGTTGTTGAATAATACCATTGTTGTGGTCGTTGTTGTTATTGTGTTACCAGACATAGACATTGTCTACGTCTAGTTGCTCATGTTGTTGCTGCTATTATTACAGGCATCGTCATCATCATATGTAAAACATGTTGAAAACAAACAGAAACAGAAAAAAAGCAAAACAAACGACCAAACACACATCACGTAACAGAGAGAGAGAACCTTGAAGAAACCAGTTTTACTATTCTAATGTCAATGCCATTGTTGTAGAGTAGTTAATGTGTTGTTGCTGCCACTGCTGCTGCTGTTGTTGTTTATGAATGTAATGCTGCAAAATGTGCAACAGCAATAAATAAACAATAACAACCATATATAATGGAGAGTATATATATAAAAACAATAAAAAAACTAGTATAGAGTGTTTGTCAACAAAACCAACAACAACAACAGACAAGCAAGCTCCAAATATCATTACGACTCCCCAAAAAAAGCCAAAAACAACAATCATTAAACAAATGTGGTGAGACAACAAGACAAGAGAGTAGGGAAAGAAAAACAACTTCAACTACAACAAGATATTGCAGCCTCAAACAGAGAATATATTGGAATTAGATTTTATTTATGTTTGTATGGGTGGATAGATGTACCCAGCAGTTATACAAGGAGCTAATGCATCCGAAAATTACAGTAATTTCCACTAATGTTGATGGCTCTAATTCGTCTTTCGCCAAGAATGTACTCTTTGTAAACAAAAGTAGAGAAGAGGTCACTTTACTGTCATCAAGTAATCTATAGACTCTAAACAAATTAAAACGCAAACGTTAATTGCCATGTTTCAAATCTTTTGGACTAGATTTCAGACTGTCTCTTTTTAATCTATGGATTGAATATTTATTTCACATGGGTAAATCACTAGGGTAGTCGGGTGGCTAGGGGTAACAGTAAGTAGTTGGGTAATTAGTTAGTTCGGGACTGTCCCCCGAACTGCTGGGTAATGACCGTGCAGCTTTTATTAGAGACAGAGGCAGGGAGCATGTAAGAGTAAGATTGGTGTAACTAGACCATTTTTGTTGGCGTAATACATTTTATTAACGTCATTGTAAATTGAAGTTTTCCTTACAACTCTAACGTTTAAAAGGGGAGTGTGAATAGTTACAGTTTCGGTTACATTGTTAGCAAATATTGAGAAAAATAGAAAGAAACACTTTTTCAAAACCATTTTTGAAAATGAATTTGACGATTTTTTTTGCAAACGGTTTATGTTTTTGGTCTTCACCCAAATAAAGAACCACCTTAAAGTTTCCAAGAACAAGATTGACAATAAACTCTTGCAGAGCTAGTCGCCGAGGGATTGTTCTTTAAAGCTGGCGGAAATACATTGATGTCAAGATTAAGAAGTGACTGATGATGATGCTGATGATGTTTATGGTTTAGATCATCGATCCCTTGTTAATTTGCATTTAAAACTCCAACTTCATTTCTGGCAATATGACTTTTCCTTAAAGTCTAGCTCTAGAGATTACACCTGCCAAAACATTGTAGATTAAAGTAACCACAATCACGAGAAGATCTACTGTGTATAGCGTTTAACAAGTTCTAGTCGTAACGACTACATTTAGAAGCCATCCAACGAATCTTGTCAAAAATTTTAAACTCGTTTTTACCGAATGATTTTCTAATAAGAGGCAGTAAAAAGAAGATTAACACAAACGATCCTCGAGGGGTCAAAATGCCTGAAAACCAGCCATCGATCACCATGCCTATCTCCCTCCTGTCACGAATTTCCAAGACATTTGAGGAACTACTCCTCCCGGAACTGCAACAATACCTAAATCCAGCAGAATAACATCGATTCCGCCTAAAGCACAGCACAACAGCTTTAACCGCTATCACCACTCAAGTTTGCCACTGCCCTACCATGTCAACGAACGGTCTTTGTGGCACTCGACCTATTAAAAGCTTTTGATACGGTCAATCACGCCATTCTCTTTAAAGATATTTTTACATCTAATCTCTCCGACAGCACCAAGAGATGGCTAATGAACTACATGTGTGGACCACAGTCATTCATGGAGTTTAGGAACCAGAGATCCAAGTCTCGTAGAATTAAATAGGGAGATTCAAAGTTGTCAAAACGCAGCCCTTAGAACAGTAACAGACTGCATTTAAATGACGTCTGAAGTACACCTGCATAACGAAACGAAGATGCTTTCGGTTATGGAACACAACATCAAGCTATCAAAGCAGTTCCTAATGGGATGTCAAAGGAGAGGCCACCTGAATCACCATCTAACGGAGTTAGAAGCCTAGCATATCAGGAAAGATCTTTGTCTATAAGATTGTCGCTCTCTTAGAACACATGGATAACCTAGATGAAGAAAGCTCATACAAGTCAGCTTTAAATACTATCCCCACCGCGATAGTATGATACTGGGAGGTCGTCCCCACCCATTGCAAACGAGGAACGAAACCTTCGTCGTCTGGAGTGGTATAGGAACAACTTAGATCGGGTTGGTGTACCCGTTTAAACTCGTACTGGTCGAGAATAAATGACACCATTTAAGATCTCTTTCCTGCGAGTGCCACAGGTCCACACAATCCAACTCAGCTGGAATGCGTCTACTGAGTTTAGATCTAAGTAACTTGGATAACCAGAGCGAAGAAGAGAAGGGAATAATTTGTAACTATATATACGTGTAATTTCAGGTGTCGCTGCTACAACAACAACAACCAGTGCAATGAACACAATACCTGTGAATAAGTTACTCGTTCACAATCATTACGATATTGGGTTAAAACCAAGATCAAAACTAAAGAACTATTAAAACATCAACTACATTTTTGTTAAACTGGTTACAATTCTTTAAAACACCATTGATTTAGCTTAACCCTAACCTTCAAGTATCTACTATCCTTCTATATTGTAGTATGTTAACAAAATTTCTTTTGTTTTAATTGCAAATCTTTCCAAATGCATTTCCCTCCAACACATTTTATATCTTCAATTTTCCACTTTAGTACTACATTTGGTTTACAAATAAATTAAATATTTATCTTCTTTTTCATTTTACTTACTTGAATCCTTTGTCATCGTCAATACCATTGACAACACCATTTGTTGTGGTCACTTGGTCATCTTTCTTTAAGCCATTCGTATCGAATGGAGAATTTGCCTTTTCTTTATCATCGTGTGACTGTAAATTACAAAACAAAACAGAAAAATTAAAAACAAATCAAAATGAGAATATATAGTTTAAGAGGCCAAAAAACCGAAAACAAATTACAAAAAACATTTGGGTTCAAGCAACAATTAGTGCAGATCGAAACAAAGGACATTGTGGATATAAAACTGCTGGCACAAAATGATTAAAATAGAAAAAAAAGCTAAACGAGAGAAAAAAAAAAGGATGTTGAAAGTCAAACAGGAAATGAAACAAACAAAATTGCATTATGTTGATGCAAAAAAAAGGAAAAAATTATAAACAATAAACAACAGCAGCTTGGAACGGAAGCAGCTTATAAAAAGCTAAAGATTGTGCCCAGAGAATTTGGGACGATTTTTAAAATGTAGCAAATGAAAGACAATTCAGTAAAAGTTACAAAAATAAATTCCGAAAGTGTGAGATATCAAGAAATCTCTGGCTTTAAACTTACCTTATCATTATCATCGAACTTCAATGCCCTCAAACGAGGTTCCAAGCCAGACAAAGGACTTTCTTTATTTGTTGGTGAACCACCTAAAACGTATTCCACCATTTTAACGCCTAAACCACTTGTTGAATCACGTGGGCTGAAAAAAATAAAGGAAAGGAATATATAATTAATAAAAGTGGATAATAAAGAAAAATAAAAAAGTAATTTTACGTTATTTTAGAGCATATTCAATACTGATCTCTTTAAATTAATAATATTTTGAAACTCACCTCAATATTCCAGCATTTCCACTCGCCGATGTATCCGGTGCTTGTGGAAATGTACGAGGTCGTGGCAATATTGCTTCACTCTGTGTCGACCAGGGTGAATCTTTCCAAACATGAGGATCACCAATGTGTAAAGGATTTAAGGGGCCACCGGTAACACCAGCCGAAGCCGAACCTTTGCCATCGGATTTTTCCCATAATTTTTTGGCAGTGGATGTAGTGATCTATAAAGACAAATAATAAAATAAACAAAATTTAATAAATTTAAATAAAACGGATTTATTCAATATAAATAAGGGAAAATAACAGTGATCAGCAGTTTTAGCTTTCAGGGGACGAATGATATAAGTTTATTACAGCAAGAGCCGCAAGTAAATTATTTAAATTACAACATCTTATGATGGCCAAGCTTTCCAAATATAATCTAACTTTGAACTGTTTATTTTCCCTTTATGTCAACCACTGATTTTAACTACCTTTTCATAACTAGATATAAAGGGAGTGTATTATTTCCGTTTACCTTTTTTCAACCGAAAAAAAGGTTTAACATGTGCTGATTCATATAAAATCTGTATAAAAATCTAACAAAAAAAAACTTTTTTAAAATTTACACTTTAATGCATCAGCAGATATTTCAAAAAAATCTATATTGCACGCTGTATTGCAATATTTTCGTTTTTAAATTCTGCTTACTCACTGGACATTTCCACAGGGAGTTGAGTGGGTGCAGGAAACAAAAGAAGGACGTTTTATTATGGTGTGGTTAAGTGTTGATGACTTGATTTGATTTTTTTCACAATCACAATTTACTGTTGTGACCTAATTGCCAATAATAAAATTACAGCAGCAACTACTTTTTGCAACAACAACAAAAAAAAAATAACAATTTTAAAGGATATCAGCCAGACTTAACGAATAAAAATATCGAAAGGATAAACTGTAGTACAAAGTATTAAAAATTTGGAGTGAATAGTTACAACGTGTTTAAGTATTAAGACCTAAATTTTGACTTTTGTGTCTGTTCGGCAGCAAGTAAAAGTGGTTTATTAAGAGGAAGAAAAAAAACGGAAGGATGTCTGTCGAAAATTAAAGTTATATTAAATTTAAGAAGCAGCACCAATATTTTTGTGGAGTGCAGTAAAAATAGGACGATACTATGTGTAGAATTGGAAATTTGGTAAAAAATAAGTAGGCTAACATGATCAGTATTATGGCAAGCTGATATAGAGTTTAACAAGGACAAGCATTTGAACTAAGCAGTCTCGGAAGAATCTTGTAAAATAGTTAAATGATGTGCACATAGAATTTGGAACGATTTTTAAATAGAAGAAAACGAATCAACTACTGCTATATCGGCCTATTTGCATGCCATTGTCCTCCACCATTCCTCCGGGGAATGTTACTTTGATGATCTTCCCCATCTTGGTGTTATTGCAAACCGGGGGATTTCCTTGGAATGATTTGACCTGGGGTCGGACCAGGGTGCCTTATAATCTGGTACCACGGAAACACGTAGCGAACAGGCAGTGTTTCAGACTTTGTCTGGTCCCGATTACTGGAGAGGTATGTTGTGGTTGTGGTTTAAACCCAAACTCGCAGGAATATACTGTTGGTTAATAGACTGATGCACGGTAAAAAGTCGGGAAAAGTTTGGTGCCGTTGCCGAGACAACAGATACCTAGAGTAAGTGTGACGGATGAATGAGAAGTGTGCTGAGTTGAATGATGTTGGATGTAATGTATCCTATACAAGTTATGTTCTTGCATTTTGAAAGTTACATAGCGGACACCAATGACCAGATAGTAGATAGCCTAAGTACTAGAGCAAAGTGCTTGTACATGGAACGGCAGAACAAGCACAAAGGGGCGGAGGTGAGTCATCTAATAAGCTCACCCTGTGGTTGTTAAAAGTATCACCGTGAAATAAGGCTAACACAGCGGGTGTTCTTGTCAAGCACTTCTAATTATGTCCCCTTTAGCCGATTGGAGATTTGAAATCCCCGACCCGATCTTATTAGGCCCTATTTTCTTTTTGTTTTTATGACAATGCATCATTACAAGCTCGGAGTCCTTCACTATGTATTGACATATTGATAATACATCTAGTTTAAACCAAAATGCATAAGATAATAATTGAGGAGCCATGGAGGGCTCCTATTTATCCATTATAGTCTATTTAGTAAGATTTTTTAAAACCCATCCATCTTATTGTGTTTATTCCCATCGATTCTGCCATTTACTTTGAGATACTTCTCTTTCCATAAACTTTACGTTGGCCTATATTTCCGCCTCAGCTTCTTTTCCGATCGTTCAGACATTTAGATTTATCAGGTAGAATGTCTATGGTAATCATCCCCTCAACTACATATGTTACATCATCTGAGAAGCCCATACGATCTGACATGCTTCTAATCATACAGTGCCCAGTAATTATCTCTATGAGAGGTTTAAAACAATTTCTATCAAGAGCCAACAGAGCTGAGGTGCTTTTCCGTATATGACTGGGTCATAGCATTTTTGATATTGTGTTCCATAATGCAGCCGGAAATATAACTACGCTTTTGCGATCGTTAATCATGGTTCTATGAGAAATCCAAATTGATGTTCAGAGATAATGTAATAATTTGGCTTTGGAATACTTTCCTATGTATTTTAGATAAACAAGTAATAGCCTATTACCTGATGGCAGTATTAGCAGTATCACTTTTGATATTACATGATAATGATATAAAATCAGATTTTAATGAAATATTTACAAAGTACTTCATCCGACTCAGCAAGTCTAGGGCTATTAAGGCTAGGTTCACACCTGTCATATATTTGACGGAAAATACATAACCACTATTTTATGTAAATGTTGTTTTGATTTTACATAATTTTTGTAATTGCAAATAATGTTGATAGAAATAAAAAGACGTTCTAATTATATAACTTTGTGTTAATGTCACATCATTTTTAGTCAAATATTTGATAGGTGTGAACGTACTGTAAGTATATTATTGTTTACCCAAAATCTGCAGAATTTCAAAGGTTTTTGACAAAAAAAATATGAAAGTTTTAAACTATACTTTTAGTGCACTCTACAATATACATAATCCCACAATGACCACCCTCTTAAAAAAAGTCAAGGACCTTTTTTACTCTTTAGTTTTTCCAGCCACAAAAGCGTCATTTATTCTGCAATGCCCAAAAAGGAAGAAAAGCAAAACAAAACAAAAAAAGTAGAATTAATGTGCACTTTTGAGCAGTCAATTGGAATGCTGACGTTGGGTTTTGAAAAATGAAAAAATAAAAACTATATTGCACAAAATTATAATTACTACATGATTACGGTCAAATGACTAACAAGTTGGCTTTAATTTAAATGTGGAGTACTTATGTGTGAATGCTTGGTTGGTTGGTTTATTTGAATTACACACGTTTAATACACACAAACGGAAAAAAAAGAATTTCGAACCCTAAGGTGTAACACAAAGCAAATAAGGAAAAATTGACAAAATGAAAAGAAATATGTAATGTAAGCAGTTATGAATCCAGTTCTTAAAAGCTAAATTCCATAAATGTTTTACCCACCACGAACACCTGCTGAATAAATGCGTGTATTTTGTTAAATTTTTCTAAGGAATAACGTGTTAAATACGCATTTTCTTCTTTAAGCCATTTTGTTAGTTTTATATCATTTTGGTTTTTTATGTGTAAAAAGTTATTAAAATAAAAATGCAATGGAAATTATATTTCATGAACCACTTAAAATGAATAGAAACATGTACAGAAAAGCAACTAGACAGTAAATTGTGCTGCAAATGAACAAACATAAAGGATATATTCTACTAAAAATTCCTCATAAATTTTTTATTTTTCTTCAGTCCTTTTTAAGTAGCCTTTACTGTTTTATGTTAAATTACTTGTGGTTAAACCATTCAAAGAGAAGTGAGTTCCTCCATACTTTATAAATGTGTAATTTTAGTTGGTAACAAATTATTTTACTAAAGACATTTTTCAATGATTCATTATGTTTTTTTTGAAATGGCAAATGTGATTAAACTTTATATACATTTTAGGTAGAATAACCTGATGAAATGTTTAGCAATATATTGATAAATCCCGTGCATGTTCCAGGTTCTCGTCAGGTTTGCTGCTATTTTAATTAAATACATATAACATATGTTTCCCTCATTAGAGAGTAATATTTTAGAAATAAGCTCCAAATCGGAGTCCGATTTGAAAAACCTTTATTAATTTTATATTAATTTAAAAAACCTTTCAATAAAACAAATTTTCTGCCAATGGCTTAATTTTTGATCAAAAACTTAAAAGTAACATTAAGCTAAACCTGAAATGTTACATAATATATTTTTTTTACATATTATAGCTTTCCTTATATCTGAAAGGCATCATCCCACTTTTTATTATAAAAAATGAAGTGGGCGAAAGGTGGCACGCCCATACAATGTAAAAACAAACATTCGTACTTCACAGAAATTATAACAGTTCTGGCATTCGTAGGAATATAAAAAGTGGAAGTGGGACCTAACGTATTACGTAAATATTAAATCTCATTTGGTATAATATAACGGCAAGAATCCTTAAAGAAAGAAAATAATTTTATATAAATGGAATAGATTATTGAAATGAGTAAATTGAATGAATAACTATTCATTGAACTACATAGAACCAAAAAGAGCAGACCAACTTTAGTGGGCGTGGGACTTCCCATAATATTAAAATAATGGATATTATATCAGAAACTATTACAGATTATCATAACATAAAAATGTATGTACCATTTATTATCATTTAATTAGCAATATACCACGCCCATTTAACAGATTTTGCCCATTTTTTGTATGGCCGTTCATATTGTCTGTAATCATGAAAAGTTTTATTTCGATACGAATTTGCAAAAGCGAGTCATGACTTCATTCCAGCAAGATTTAGCATTTGCACCACTGTGCATCGTCATTGAGTAAGAGTTCAGAGAGTTCACAGCTTAATTTAAAGACATTTATATACAAGAAGATGTCTAAGTGATTTACGTTAACACCTGCCGTGTCGTCCTTATTTCACGGTGGTCTTTTTCAACCCACAGGATGAGCTTTTGTGACGACTCACCAACTCCGCTTTGTGTATCTTACACGCAGGTGGCAATTCTTGTACATAGTTCTGCCGGTCCATGTAAAAGCACTTTGCTCAAGCACTCGAGCTATCCAATCGCTGACCATTGT